TGTGCATGGGACACTCAAGAGCGAAGAGGCACGGAATTCAGACACAAGCGAGTTTTCTTCTTGAGCGTGGCCAAATCGCAGAACCAAGCGAGAGAACCTTGAAAACCCACTTATAGTTAAAATGACTCTTCATTACCTCGGCCCACAAATTGTAGTAGAGTGCTTTCGGTGACAGCCAGGATGGGGATGGAAGCTGTGTCTCCAGCGCGTTGCAGAAAACTGCCTCATCGGTCTTCTTCTGGGCTGGGATGGATGGCCACACACCTTGCTGAGATGACCCCATGGTGGGCACAGTTCATGGGAACTTCGCTTTGATGTCATCTTTAGTCTTGGTATTTCAAACCCGAGCATAAGAATTCCTGTATCCACTTATCTGGTTTCTGACCCCTGAGCTGCTTATTCCCAGTCGGGGGCTTTCTTCAGTGACCCTTGAGGTACACCAGTCTCTCAGTCACCTAGGGCCATCCAACACTGAACCCCCTCCCACTAATACTTCAGAGATCTTGGGTGGATATATAGAAATTGGAACAAAATAAAAGTCTAATCATCTACTTTCTTCTACTCATTGATTTTTTGGTTTTGTGTCTGTATCACTTCCCTTTATCTTTTTCTACTGCGCTTTTGATACTATTCTTTTCTCATAATTTCTTGACATACTGAACTCTTAATTATTGATTTTTTCTTTCCTTTTTTCTCTTTCGTTTTCTTTTCTTTCTTTTATAAGGCAGAGACGAGGTCTTGCCATTGCTGCCCAGGCCTGGTCTCTCAAAACCTCCTGGGCTCGAGCATCCCCTGCGGCTTGCCCTTCCAAGGTGTTTGGAACTACAGTGTGGGAGCTACCGCACCTAGCGTCTTCCCTTCCTAATATAATGTTCTTGAGAGCCTATATAAGTTTCCCTCAGAGCAGTGCCTTAGCTGGCGATCCCAGTCTTGATGTCATATTCTTCATTAATCTTCTTCTTGTTTTTAAGCTCTAAGTTCCATCTCTTCCTGGTAATAACTAAAATATTCAAACATCAGTCCGAATTTCCAATTTAAAACTATAAGTTCTTATCCACCCTTATTACCAGAATGAGCTTGGAGTAGATTTCTGTTAAAAAAAAAAAAATGGAAAGCAGTGGTAAGCCCTGGTGAGGTTTAGGCTCGCTAAATCCCTCATTACGAAGAGAGTCAAAAAGAATAGCTTGATGACTCTTGTCTTTTTGTTTTTGAATTATACAATTTCCAGTGAATGATGAATGATTTTTTTTTTTTTTTTTTCTTTTGACCATTAGGACCTTTTGCGCTTGTTGCCCAGCTGGAGTGCAAATGCACAACTTGGCTATGGCAACCTCCAGCCCTCCCTCGTTTCAAAGCCGATTCTCCTGCCCGTCAGCCTCCAGAGTAGCTGGGAATACAGGCCACCCGCCGTCGCGCCTAATTTTTTGTATTTTTTTTTTTTTAGTAAGAGATGGGGTTTCACTATGTTCGACCAGGCTGGTCTCGAACTCCTGACCTCAGGTAGATCCACCCGCCTCAGCCTCCCACAAGTGCTGGGATTATAGCGTAAGCCACTGCACCCAACCTAAAAAACACATTTTAGGCCAGGCGCGTGGCTCAAGCCGTGTAATCCCAGCACTTTGGGAGGCCGAGATGGGTGGATCACGAGGTCAGGGGATCAAAGACCATCCCTGGCTAACACGGTGAACCTCATCTCTACTAAAAAAAAATGAAAAAACTAGCTGGCGAGGTGACGGGCGGCCTGTGTGTCCCAGCTACTCGGGAGGCTGAGGCAGAGAATGCGTGAACCCGGGAGAGGCGGAGCTTGCAGTGAGCCCAGATCGCGCCACTGCACTCCAGCCTGGGCAACAGAGCGAGACTCCATCTCAAAAAAAAAACACACACACACTTTTAAAGTTAACAGAAAATGTGCCAACATTGCACCTAATTAGGAGTTCAGAAACAGAAACCACCTGCATGTTACTGATCTAGACTTATTAAATTTATTTCATGTCACTGTGGTCACTTTTACAGCTGTTTAGACTTATTTTTAATCACATTACTCTTCACAGAATTCACAGAATTCATTAACAAACTAGTATGTTACATCCAAGGGTTCTTAGTAGCACACCGAAATAGAAAAAGAGGCCCACGAGTTGTTGCTTCTGTGTGGAACCTGAGTCTGATTACTTAGACAGATGTCTAGAACATTATTGCTTTATTAGGCCTATTTTTTTAAATAATAAATTATCCCTAGGAAACCCACCCTGCCAGGTGCTCATTCTGTGACTGCTGTGGGTTCACTCAGAACATACCTAACTCATGGGTACTGAATGAACCACCCACCCATGTACCCTGCTGCTCCAGCGGCTGGAGCAATGCCCCTCCATGCATGTAAACATTTTCTACAGCTTGCCACTTTCCTCCCTGGTCTTGCAGCCAATGGGCTGCAGTCATACATGGGTCTCTATGTAAAATTTAAATTAGACCTAA